CCCTTTTCGCGGCCCTCTGCGAGCCCGCGACTCCCCCCGCCCCCCGTTCTCTGGTGCTCCCACTCCGCTCCCCTCCCCCCCCCACACACACACACACACGCCGCCCCGCCAACCCAGGCATTCTGGCTACGGGGCTGCCCTCTGCCTGTGTGGTGCCGGGCTGCCTGCCAGGCTGGGCCCAGCTGTGTAGGGCGGGTGGCCATGCCAGGCCCAGTTACACTGTGGGGAAGTTGTAAGGGTTTGTGGGGACAGCTCACCTTCCCCTCTATCTCCCCCCCCACACACACACACACAAGGGGACCCAAAGCAGAGATGTCTTCTGTCTTATTTTCACAACCAACCTGTGAAGTAGGTTAGGTTGAATGTCTGTGACTGGCCCAAGGTCTCCCAGTGGCCTTCTGGGGCAGACTCAGGACTCAAGCCTGGGTTTGGCAGATCCTCCTCTGAAGCCCCAGCCACTACACCTCACTGGCTTTGGCCAGGTGGCTGGGGTGAGCAGCCAAGCTGGAGTGAGCTATGGAAGTCACCCCGTGTTTGCTTCCTCAAGGACCAACAAAGACCTGGAAAGGGCCCTACCTTTTGATGACAGGAACCAAGACTGAAAGGCTCACAGTAACGCTGTGCTTGCCTAGCAGGGACCACTGAGGGCATTCATTTTTTTTAAAAGCTACAGAAGCTGCTTCTATTAATCCTCAATTATGTTGTTTTTTAGATTTCAGATTTTTCTCTTAAACCTGGGGCTTTTCTCAGCTTTGTAAAAAGATCAGTCCTGTCTGTCCATGGCCCCCATGTATCCATAGATATGATCACGCTGAGAATCTATATATCTAATTCTCAACAGTCCCCTCTGCGTGTGGATATTTATTTCTGCAAACAGTGGGCACACTCTCCCCCAACAGGTTTTTCTACAGACTCAGGGCACTCCGTGGGTCAGCAGAAAAATCCAGAAAGTTTAAAAACAAACCTCAGGGAGGATTGAATTCCCCCCATACCTTTTGAAATAGCTGCCGCAAGGATCTACTCCAGGCCCTGCCATATCAACAGTGAGAGATAGACTGGCTGATGGCCAGAGAGACAGAGAGGGGAGGAAGCAAAAGCAGAACTGGAGCTGGGTTTGGGGAGGATTCCTCCTGCAGTATGACTGGCTAAATAATCTGAGCTTGTCACCCCTACCTTTTTTGCTGCAGGCTGCATTGTCCTCTTAAAACTTTCTTGGGGTGGGGAGGGTTCTGACTGGTTCTGTCAGTAAAAGGCAGGGGAAGGGCATTTCCAGGCCTATTTTGGCCTTTCAGGGAGGGATCCTTAGGGCCAGGCCTGACAAGGGTTGTCAGTGCCAGGTTGGGGAATTCCTAGAGATTTTGTGGTGGAGTCTAAAGAAGGGAGAGGCCTCGCTTGGATATAATGCCACAGAGTCCACCGTCCAAAGCAGCCATTTCCCCCAGGAAGACAGATCCCTGCTATCTAGAATCAGTTGCAATTCTGGGGGATCTCCAGGTTCCACCTGGAGGTTGGCATCATTAGGCCTGGTAGCACCCTCTGGGTGTCTTGATACCACCTGACTTGCATGACTCAACTAGGTCTGGCTGTTTGCTACTTTTCAACAGCAGCCACCCGATGAAAGCCAGTGTGGTGCAGTTCAAAGTAGGGTCTGCGAGACCCAGGTTCAGATCCCCATCTTGTGGTGGAAGCTGACTGGGTGATTTTGGACCAGTCACACACTTTCAGCCTAACCAGCCTCACAGGGTTGTGCAGATTAAAAGGAGGAGAGAATAGTGTAAACTGCTTTGGTCCCTACTGTGGAGAAAGACTGTAATTTCCCTAGGTAGAGGCTGTGGGAGAGGGGGGTGGAGATGGAAAGCTGAAGACAGAGAGGCAGATAAAGGTAGGTTGGCTGTTGGGTGGGAAGGAAATAGGGTTGCCAACTCCAGGTTGGGAAATTCCTGGGCGTTTGAGGGTTGGAGCCTGGGGAGGGTGGGATTTGCCATAGACACCACCCTCCAAACCAGCCATTTCCTCCATGAGAACTACCATTGCCAGCCTCCAGGGGAGCTCTGGAGATCACCTAGAATTACAACTGTTGTCCAGATGACAGAGATCAGTTCCCCTGGATAAAATGGCTGGTTTGGAGGGTTAAGTCTATTATTATACCCTGCTGAGGCGGCTTCCCTCCCCAAAGCCTCACTGTCCCGAGGCTCCACCCCCAAATCTCCAGGAATTTCCCAGCCTGAAGCTGGCAACCGTACGGTGAATTGATCTCTGTAGCTGGGAGATCCGTTGCGATTCCCCAAGAGCTGCCACTGCTGCTGCAGGGGGAGAGGAAGCTGCTGCTGTGTGGGGTGGGGGAGGAAGCAGGCAGGAGGCTGGGAGAGTGATGGGAGCAGAAAGAGACAGTGATGGGGTGGGGGGCAGAAAGAGAAAGAGAATGATGAGGCAGAAAAATGGAGGAAGTAGCATGCATGGAGGAGACGTGGAGAGTTAGAGAAGCAGAAGGGGTAAAGAGTGTGAGAGAGGTAGGGGGCGAGGGGAAGAAGCAAAGGTGTGAGGAATGGGATAACTGCCTTGCAAGTTTCTTGCGGGTCCCCATTTGTTGGATATATTGTTGATGTTCATGCCTCTTTCAAATGTCATGGGTGCTAAGCCCTTTTGCATGTGTTTGATATGTTATGTAAACCAGAAGAGGCAGTGCAGTTACAGAGTTAATTTTGAATGCAAAATGGTAACATGACTCTTTCAATCTATAGAACAATCACATCCTTGGAATTGGCAGTGGCTCTACAATAGTTCATGCTGTAAATCGTCTGGGTATGTATTTCCATAGCTCCTTCAGTGAAAAATAATGCTGCCCAGGCTGCTGGGCTTGGTTCAGGTGAATTTCTGTACATGTAGAGGCAATGGGTTGGATCCCACAGATCCTTTCCCCAGGGAGGGTGGTACCTCTTGCCAGTTTCCCTCTCCCATAGCAGCCTGCCTCCTTCCTCATGTTCTTCTTGGGAGTCCCCAGGAGAAGCATGTCAGGGGTCCTTTGGGGCTTTAGCAGGAGGGCTTAGAGAGAGAAGCCATGTTCTGCTGGTGGAAATAATTCTCTTATTGAAATTTTTTGGAAGGATCCAGGCCAGAGTGCGGTGGGTGGGTGCCTAGGCTCACTCAAATCCTGCCAAAGGACATCTACAAATGAGAACTAATGTTTATGTAGAGCATTTATCTGTAAATCCCAGCATGTGCAGGCCCAAGCCAAAAAGCTAGATGTGATGCGGATTAATGACCATTCACCTTGAGCCTTCAGGAATTGGGCTTCACATGCACAGGCCCCCGTGTTATGTCCAGTTATGTCCAACCTGGCAGGCCAGTCCATGTGACTTCTCTACCAGATTGCCTATAGGGTGTGTCTAAAAGAGTGATGAAATATTGAAGCCATTGGGGGGGGGGGGAGAAATTGGGGTTTTTTTTAAAAAAAAAAAACTATCCAACATTCACTTTCTTATCAGACATGAGAATATAAGATGCACCATTTAAAACTTTAACAGCGTGCCACACACACACACACACACACACAAGCACACATATGTATATATAGGTGTACGTGCCCTTGTTTTCTTTAAACAAAATTTCAGGTATATCCAGTAGTACAGTCCAACTGTATAGTACAAACTGTACAGTAGTACAGTCCAAAGCAGTGTGGATTTCTTTTGCTACTTATTTCTTTGGCAGCTTCCTGCTTTCCTAACTTCTTGGTGTTGCACAAGAGGCCAATTTCCCCTTCTCCTCAGGAATCTGCAGACCAGAGGTTGGGGAAGGCAAAAAGAGGTGGTGATGTAATAAAAAATTAGGTAATGGTGATCCGGGTTCTTTTGATTTCTGGAAAGGGCTGACAGGGCTGAAGCTAGGATCCCAAGAAGTACTTAATAGGATTTTTGCTGAATGTTGACACCTCTGAAATTTCATGGATGTAGGTAGCTAGAAAAACTGTTGTCATCCATCAGAAACTGCAAACACTAAGTTTTTCTTTTGTTTGGCGGGTCCCCCCCCACGGTTGTATTATGTTTGTGTTTATATGTTTCATTGGATTGTTTAGTTATTTTCATATAGCTTTAAATGCTGTTTTAATGCTGAAATCTTTGAATGTTTTTTATATTCCTTGCCTTGGGGACCCTTTTGGGGTGGAAAGGTGGCGTAACAATGTTTTAAGTAAATAAACAGTAAATTTTATTATTGGTGCTATACTTAATGCTTTTATTCTGTCCAGGCAGAGTGAAGCCTAGTAACTCGGGTACTTAAAAGAGAATGAACAGAGATATTTGATGTGGTTTTGGCTTGCATGATTCTTATTGTTTTGATTGTATGTCAAACCCAGGATTTTTCTTCCTGCAGCAGCAAGAGTGAAGCAAGAGAATCTCAACATTACTTGTATACCTACCTCTTTTCAGGTGTGTTCTGAACCCTCTGTTCTTGAAATGCAGATTAACGTTTACATTTCATCAGCCTCTTGAGAATGACATTGCAGTCTGCTAGTCTGTCAGTGCCTGAGTTAAGACGGGTTTGTTAATGGCTCTGTCCCTGCCCTGGTCCAGGATGCTGCTCATTCCAGGTCCTGATTAGATCTTTGCTTTCTAATTCCGTATTTATGTACTTCATTTATATCCCACCTTTCTCCCCAGTGGGGACCCAAAGCACCTTATGTTGTTCTCTCCTTTATATTATCGTAACCACCCACTGAGGTAGGCTGGGTGTGTGTGAGTGAGCCGGGGTCACCCAGCAAAGCGGGGATTCAGACCCAGTCTCCCAGTCTGTGAGTATAACTGACTTGCACCGCACTGGCTGCCTTGAAGCATAATGCCTCATTAACAGCAGGTTTCAGGGAGGTGCTATTAATAAAGGGAACGGGACTGTGAACTCTACCGCTATGATCAGCATGTGTGTTATCTGTTGGGTGTCTATATTATTCTGCTCCCATAGCATTGCTTTAAACTTGCATAATATCACTTTCTGTACTGTGTAGCATATCATGCCTAATATTTGGACCTTTGTTTTCAGAGTGTTGTAATTTTAGTTGTATTACATTGTCAAGCCCGCCCTGGGCTCTGGGGGTAGCCCCTCCCGTGGCCGTGACGTCTCAGGGCGGGGGAGGTCCGACGGCTCTGGGAGACGAGCCTTGTAAAAAAGGGGGGGGAGCGTTGGGGCCTCAGATGTGTGGGCAGGGGACGGAGTTGGACGCCACTCCGTAGGTCCCTCTACCTTCGTGCTTTGGTTCCCCAGCCTCTCAGCGTCCTCCCTGGACTCTCTCTGCATCCAGTGGTCCCAAGCACATCCTCCCTCCCCGGCCCCTTTGCTTTCCTGTCCTTTATACCCAGCTCCCTCACCCAGCGCCGTCTCCCGTTCCCGCCTCCCTCTCATTCCTCACAGCCCCGCCCCCCGTGATAAGCTCCGACACCTTCCCCGTGGCCGGGGTGTCGTCGTAGCTATGCTGGCGGTAGTCTTGGTGCCCGGGGCCGTGCCGCTGCCGGCGGCGTGTGGGGTTTCGTGTGGTGATGGGGCGTCGTCAGCCTCTCCTGCTGCTCCCTGCGGCTCCGTGCTTCGTAGTCGGGCGGGGTCAGACCGTGGCGTCCCGGCTGTGCTGACGGAGCTCGGCGAGATGGGGACTTCTCGGTCTGCAGGTTCCCTGGGTGAGTTGGTGGTCGTTGGTGTCTCTGGGGTGTGTGGGTGTTAAGTCGGCTACTTAGCGAACGAGTCAGAGAGTGATTCAGCAAAAGATCAGCTCAGGGTGGCTTCCAAAAGTTAAACAGTAGAATCAGCATCACAATTTAAAATCAGCTTTGCAGTTAAAAATCTGTGACTCAGTCAGTCCATTCTATCAGGCGGCTCCTTAACATTCTCCAGAGGTGGATAGCCAAGGGGGCAACCAGCACAGCCAGGTTCACAGTCCAACACTGGGGAGGAGGCCAGATGGCCTTTCTGGCTGACACCATCCTCCGCTGTACGCCTGGTGGGACATCTTCGTCTTGCAAGCCCACAGGGCTCAGGTTTCACTAGACCGAGAGTTCCACCACGTTGGGGCCAGAGCCAAAAGGACCCTGGCCTGGGTCGAGGGCAGGCAGACCGTCCTGGGGCCAGATTGACGACCGGCACGTTGTGGCTGGATGAGTGCGTTTATGACCTGCGAGGGGTATGTCTGATCCCCTTTGTCTAAAGCTGTCTGTTCCTGTCTAAAGCTGTCTGTTGCATTGACTTACACTGTATGACCTGCCTTGAATCTCAGTGAGAAAGGCAGACTGTAAATGAATAATTGTGATAATAATGTAGGCACGTTAGCTGGTAAGTAAGCACTGCAGCAGACTAAGACACTAGCACCAGATTTATTGTTCTAATCTGCTTGTTCCTTTGTTGCCTTTGTGTGTGTGTGTCCCCCCCCCCCCCCGAAATGATGTTACACCTTGACAGGAATAGAGCTCTCGGTGACAGTGCATTAACTGAACATAAAATGGCCCTGTGCATGTGAAGTCTACTCCCTGAAAGCTTGCAGTACACCGTCCTTAACAGCATCTAGGAACTGGCTGCATGGGCCTGCACACGTTAAGACTTCACAAATATACACTCCATGTAAATATTATGTCCCACCTGTAGACGTAGGTGATGGCGACCAAAAATTAAATCACACACTTCCAGATTTTGTGGACTGCTGGATTGGGTCTATATGGTTGAAGTTCAGGTCTCAAGGAATACTTTGAAATGCTGGCCTTGTGCAACATCATGTGGCAACTTCCTTTCCCTTGTCAGCATCATGTTTTAAATTCTGCCTCAGCTGCCTCTTAGTGCTTTAGATTTCAGTTTCCAGATCACTCTATTTCTTAGCTAAACTAAGTCATATAGATCAGTGTACTTCAGCAAACATTCATTACAGTGGTTGACCTCGAAGACTTTACATGATGGTGCTTATTTATTAAAGAGACATAGAATATATGTAATTGCTTCATTATTCTATTAAAACAGGTAATCTCCAGATCTGCTGGGTATCCTAAAAGAAATGTTAAGCACTTGAAGAACAGAGAATGCTACTTATCTAACTGTTGATTACTCCAAGTGGGATAGAAATAAACATACAGTCATAATAATAGAATACTGCATTTTAGCAATGTGGTGTCAGTATTAAAGAAGTAGAAATGCTGTAGTTTTCTATAAGCAAAATAGCAAATCTTCCCAGTATTGGAAAGGGAGCTGGAAGCTGCTGCACCCTGTGCCGCCACCTTATCATATGTATCTTATCACATGTATCTGGCCCCACTGCTGCTGGACCTCCTGGTGGGGCACCTGGTGTTTTTGGCCCCCACTGTGTGACAGAGTGCCGGACTGGATGGGCCATTGGCCTGATCCAACTTTGGCTTCTCTTATGGTCTTATTTTTTTGCCATCTGGGTGGTTGGAGGAAAAAAATGACAGTTGAAATCACAAAACAAATGTTGTTATTTAGGCAAAAGTGGTCTCCTACAGTAGCAGTAAGGCTACCAACATATTGGGGTACCAAGTTAAATGCTGAACCTCTCCAGATGAGGATTGCCACTTTTTATTGTGTCAGAGTCCAAATAATTGACTTGCCATCACAGGTTAGTCGCTCTGGTGCCACTTCTGTGAGGATCAGACTTTTTCCCCATGGAAGGAAAAGGATGATGTCCTTACCTGTACGGGGAAGGGATAGAAATTGAAGTCTTTTTTCATTAAGGAAGGGGGGGGGGAGATGTTTTCTGTTATCATGTTGCTGCTTTCATTTTTAGGTCAGAATAGTATGCTACTTTTGGAAGGTTAGTAGTATATTCTCACATATTGGTTAAGAAGATACATCTCTGATTGTTGCTGAATTTGCTTTTTCAGACTTTGGGAAATAATTCTGGTTTTTAATTTTCCCTGTAGGCACGTCAATTGATTCTGCAGAATGACTTAATCTTGAGTGACCTGGATCGACACCCTGAGGTAACAGACGGGTTTTCTTTCTTGGATGCTGTGCATAGGCCTCACGCTGGAAGCTGCAGAGGGTTTTCACAAGGAGACACCCACAAGCAGGGGGCCCGCAGGGATCGCTGAGCACCTCTTAATTTCCCGTCCACCAATATTTCCTCTTTCTATCCCCTGTAGGCCTCTATCACCTCCACCCTTTTTCCTGCTCCCATTTTCTGTTTCCCACCCACCAGCCACTAGTTCTAAGTGCTGGAAGAACTGAGGTAGCATCTCTTAGTCTGTACTGTTGAAATTGGGCCATTAGAATATTTTTGGCTGCCAAACATTCTAAGTCAAACAAGGGTTTCAGTTTGAGTTTTGTAGATGTCAGGGGGGCAATATGAGGTCTTTTTGATCATCGTTCTAACCACCCAAGAATTAAATATAAGTCAGATTGTATTGCCATTTAGGCTGTGCTACCGGCAATCATATCATTATGAATTTGAAGTGTTTTATCTGAGCCAAAATGTTCTTGGCATTGCTGGTCCATCTTTTCAGTCCATATAGACTTGAGTCAGGATCTAAGTCAGCATTTAATTTCTCTGACATAAGTGCTAATTGGTTTTGAATACTTATATTCAAAATGATTGGTAAGTTATTGCTGGCTTAGCATGCACCAGCTTCCAAATGCATTTTGTAGTTCAACGTATTACATGATGTCAGAACAAACTGATGGTTCCGTCTTTTCCCTCTGAACAATATGTGTACTCTTTAGGAGTGTTCCCCACCCCAGGGTTTCTCCAATAAGAATAAAGAGATCTAGTTTATTCTCAAGTTGTACTAGATGAAGGCTCTTCCAGTTTGATTTAGCATCCTTGAAAGATCTGGGGGTAATATACTTGCTGGTTCATGCACCGGAGAAGTGGAGTTAAAATAGGTACACAGTGCCTTGTTCAAGGATCCAAGTCTGGCATTAAAATCACCTGCAACCATGACAAAGGCACGTAGGAAGGACAACAAAAGTTTATTTTAAATTCCTCAAACTTAGTCCAAGCTTTGTTTACCCTTAACCTGGTACCATGGGAAGGTAGGTAAACGTTCACAATTAAAAAGCCATAATGACCGGATTTAACGACATTTGCCTGGGCCCAGTGACCACTGGAATCTAGGGTAATCATTGGTGCATGCAGCTGTGTAGGTACAAGTAGCGCCAAGCTTCCCTTCGCTCTGCCCTTCCTTTCCCCAGGTGACAAACCCATCAACAAGAAGTGGTTCTTGACACCAAGTCTCTTGTAGGCAGATAATATCATACCAAGTTAGAAGAAGATTGAAGGCGGCATCTGCTGTCAAGGAAGCGGTTCTAAATTTCAATCTTTGTGACTCCACTGATGGAGGTCACCCCAATTCTCAGTTCATTTCCTGCCTGGAAGATGGGCTCTGCTAATCCCCCCCATTTGTTTAATTGTATTTATTTTCTCCTGATACTATTCCTGAACTTCAGTCCTATTTCTCAGTACTTTTAAAACATTTTATTTATTTTTATTAACTCGAACAGAAATAAATAAATGATTTAATGTATAACAACAATGGTGGTATGTCTGCAGATAAGAATCTATAAAAGGTTTCCAAATATCTAAAAATATATCCATGCATAGTTGTCGTCTATATGCCATATGTTCAAATGTTGATAAGGCTGTAAGGTCCTCAATTCACTAGGTGACAGGAGATGGGCTTTTATCTCTCCAGTATTGTACTGTAAGTCTTTTAGCAATGGAAAGGTCAAGGAGGGTCCTTTTTTGTTGACTATCAGTCTCCAAGAGACAGGCAAATAGTATCCTCAAGGATCAATGGATATTCTAATACAAAGGTGATATGAGTAATTGCTTCTTCCCAAAAGACTGAATAACTGGAGAGGCCCAAAAGCATATGTTTAAAAGACATGTCCTGTAAGTTACAGCACCAATAATTAAACACTTTACTTAGTCCTTTACTAAAAAGGCACTGTGAAGTTGATTTTTATACCCCATTTTTCTCTACTCTAAGGAGTCTCAAAGTGGCTTATGTTTGCCTTCTCTTCCTCTCCCCACAACAGGCACCTTGTGAGGCAGGTGGGGCTGAGAGAGTTCTGAGAAAACTGTGACTGGCCCAAGGTCACCCGGCAGGCTTCAGCTGGAGGAGTGGGGAATTAAACCTGGCTCTCCAGATCAGAGTCTACTGCTCTTAACCACTACACCACACTATGGTGTCCAGTATATGCTAAAAATAATTGGTTGCTAAATAAATTGTAGTGTAAGATCCATGGAAACAACAGTTATAAAATGTAGGGCCATAACCCATTGCTCAGAGATTCTGAAACACTAAGTGCTACAGAGTCGTATTTAGATCAGCTTGTAAAGAATTGCCATTCAGCAGAGGTTGACAAATCATATCTAGACTTCAGCTGAGAAAATATCAAAAACTTGTCATAGCTTATTAATGAGTCCAAAATAAACCCCCCAACAGTTCAAGCCTTCCATAAAAATTTCCTCCCCGGTTTTAAAATCTGGATTAGCCTGTAAGTGTTAATGCAGCATGTGAAAAACGGTCAAATTGATCTTAACCTTGTATTCCACCCGCCCCCTGCTCCACCCTCTCGCCCTGACCTGTGTAGCCCAGGCTAGCCCGATCCTGTGAGATCTTGGAAACTAAGCCGAGTTGGCCTTGGCTAGTCTTTGGAAGGGTGACCTCCAAGGAATACCAAAGTCATGACGTGGAGGCAGGCAATGGCAAACCACCTCTGAAACATCACTTGCCTTAAAAACAAGTCTAGCTTGCCACCTAGTGGTGCATAATGCTGAAAGAGTTAGAACTTCTGGCTGCCAGACAATCTTAGGATCTCCTGGCTATCCTAAACACAATGCCATATGATAATTATTATTTTTTGTGATTAATATTTTATTGAGTGTACATGTACTCATATATTTTATACATATCTTAACACTTCATTTTCCATATATTCTCCGCTTTCTAGAAATCAAATTAAACATTGAAAGTATATAAATAATCTCCATCCTCGTTATCTTATTCCCTTTCTTTACCCGCTTAGTCAGACCACCGTACAACTTCCTCTAATTCATAATCTAAACATTATTAGATTCTTCCTTAATTTATCTAAGCCTTCTTTTCTTCTTTAGCTGGGTTCCCTCCATACACACTTATTTTATACTTATAATCTATCTTCTTCCATACCTAAAAAGGAAAGTTGAACAGGGTTGCCTCAGAAACTGGGTGCTGCAGAGAAACCTCTGCAACAGGAGGAAATCTTCCTCCCTCTGATCGGAGGTCTTTGGGGGGGGGGCACACCCTTCCCTTCCTTGCTATGCTGTTGGTTTAACAATTCCATTCCTTTTATCTATTTTTCTTTATTATGATTCACACTTATCCTATCTATTAATTCTAACTTACTCTACATACTAACATGGTAACTCTATGGATTACTTTCTACCACTCTGCTAACAAACATAATATCTCAGTTTAAACACTTCCATTCCTTAATTTAGTTACTGCATCTACTAATTTTTTCCCTGTAATCTCATTAAAAGCTGTGAACGTTTTGTTTTCCAAATTGACGACTAAATGTTTCAAGGGCAACCATCTGTATTGAATTCCTTTGTCTCTGAGGATTTTCGCTGTTTCCCTGAGACGTCTTATTGCATTAATTACCTCCGCTGGAATGTCAGGAAACAGATACACAATCATGTCCTCCAAGCTAAGTCCTTGCTTGTCTCTCGCGATTGCGAAAAGTTTATTTTTCATCTGTAGCTGTTTAAACTCGACAATAATGTCTGGGGAAGCATTTTCAGGAACCTTTTTGGAGATGTTTAACCAGAAGGCAGAGCTGAGGATCCCTTCAGGAGGCGCTGGTTCTGCTGCTGCGAGAAGGATTTGAGTCAGCCATTTGTTTAAAGTTGCAGTGAGATTATCTGTTTCACTAAAGTTTACAGATACTCCATGGAGCTTGGCTTTTTTCCCCTCTCAGTTTTGTTTCCTGGAGTATAATCTTATTCTTAGCCCATATCTCAAACTTTGATGTCTTCTGCATTCTTTTTTGCCATTTGATGGCCCTGGTCACACGGGCCGGATATCGCGAGGGGGGAGGCATGGCTAATTGCCCCGGTGCAGTTTGAGCCGCGATTATGCGATCAGACGCGCCGGCGGCACACCACAGGTCCTTCCCTCAGCGCCGGCGGGTAAACGAGGGACCGGAGGGGAATGCTGTGCACTGGTGCGATCACACCACGGCCGTCTGGAGGCAGCCCATGGCAAACGTTTACTAGTACCTTGGAGGTACTAGTTTTTTTAACGTGCATTGTTGGCGGTAAGCCACAGGTGCACTCCACTTCCCAGGTGTTGGGGTGTGATCACGCCCGGATAATCCGCCCACCATCTGTGCCTCTCCCATGGCAACTTTGTCGTGTGACTGGGGCCGATGTGCTGAATCAGCTTTCCTCTCTGTCGTTTTCAATGCTGCAGTCAGTTCATCTAGTTTCTTATTTTATGGCTCAATTGTTTGTTTGAGCAATCCAAATTCCTTTTTTAATTGTCCAACCTCTCCACTCAGTGACTTTATATTATTCTTAATTTCATTCCTTATCTCTGTTAGGGCATGCAGTATCTCAGTCTGTTTGCTTTTACTCCCCCCCCCCCACTGCCATTTCCTCTAACAGAGAAGCCTCCAGGTCTGAATCATCTGAGTGTTCTATGTCAATATTACTCTTTTTAGGAGATCTGTAAGGAGGATTTTTGGCACCTTTCTTTCTTTTCTTTTTTTTTGAAAATTTATTTTCATTTCCCACTATAACAGAATTAAACATCATATCTCTTTCACACTCAGTTACAACTTATAATATCCATTACGTCTTCCACATTTTACAACTTTTATATCGTACTAGCATAATTCAGTTTTAATTTATCTTTTTCATCTTCAGCCAGTCATAAAATAATTTCCATCTGTCTCAAAAAAGTTTCTCTGGTTTATTTTGTAGTGTTGTATTTAACTTGTCCATTTCAGCTATTCCCATCACCATATTTTTGAGTTCTCCTATAGATGGTAGAAAATGTTAATCAATCTGCTTTGTATGTGTATAGCTGGATGTTGCCATTGATGGGGCGGATGAAGTTGACTGGGACCTCAATCTTATCAAAGGAGGAGGGTAAGAATAGAATCTTATTCCCTACAGGGAGAACAAGTAATTAACTGCATTGATGTCAACTGTGTTAGCTTCTAAGGCTGTAATCTGTTGAGGGACTAACTGAATCTTTTACGTGATGGGGCAAATTTTAATTTCTAGAGCTGGGAATTAAGGATACACTTGATTCTTTCCAAGATTATTTTGATTCTGATGTATCCCTGAAATGGAAATTTTTAAAAAAGAAAAGGATCTGCGAGTTGACTGTGGCACATTGTCTCCCCCCCCAAAAAAAAAAACTCTCGAGCATCAAAGTCTATCTAGAGTGCTTATACTGGACCAGATGCATGATCATCTAGATTCATGGGCATTTATCCTTGGAGATTGATCTCGTTCACCCTGTAGATGCAGGTGCTCCGACGGGTTATTCACTCCTAACACCAGATGCAGTGTGATGATCAGTGCTGGAATGGAAAGTGCTATAGGATAATCCTTTAATGGATAGCTTCCTCCACTGAAAGCTGGAAAAACACTGGACTTACTGGGATATGTCTATTCTGTTGAGCAGATGGAGGGAATCCCAATCAACTCTTAATAGGACGTTTTGCTTTCAGGAGTTCTGTTGGAGGGTCCTCCAACTCCGTCATGTTCAAATTATTCTGCTTTTATTATTTATTTATTTATTTTTGCGATTTCTATCCCGCCCTACCCAGTGGCTCAGGGCGGCTAACAACTAGGGATGTGCAAAAAAAAAAAATTCGGTAAAATTCGGATTCGGGTTTATTGAACCCGAATTTTTTCGGGAAACCCGAAAAAACCCGAATATTTAATTCGGTAAAGCATAGATATCCGAAAATTTTCGGAAAACCCGAAAAATTCGGGTCCATTATAACCAATGGGGCCATTGAAGTCAATGGCAAA